AGTATAGTTGACAGTCGGAATCGTGTGGTCATAGCTTTCGGGGGCTTCTTTAATATTCCACGGGAATCTCATTCCTTTGTAGAACTTCAACGGTTGGCCCATATAGGTGTCCGCGTTAGCAGTTGCACTGAAAGCGTACAGACACAGAAGCTTTGAAGAGACCCACATGGAGGACAGGGATGATACGACAACTGCACAAAAAAGTTGCCAAGTAGCCCGGAAGCAGCTCACAGTGTAGACTCGCGCCTAATTACCTGCCTCCCCGCAAGCGCGATAACTTACGGTCACTATGGCGCAGTTCTACTATGCCGGTACAGTGCGAAATACTGGTAGAATGCTCAAACAAGTGAGGGTAGATCAAGTACGCACGCTGATATGTAGTATATGCAATCGCGTCACGGTAGTCACGTCACGTGACTCACGTGCCAAGGTAACAGGCACGTGAGTCACGTGCCTTGATCTGACGAACTTGATCAACGACCGTTGATGTGCGGATAGTCTCCGCACATGCTCTACAACCACAGAGTTCGGGTGAGCACAGCAGAAGGTAGACCCAACCACCGACCGGTGCCCGCTTCCGCGAAGCGGGAACCGGACACAATCTCAGCAGAAGTCGTAGCCCGACGTGACGTCGGCAACGTGCGGTCTCGAGACAGGATGGCGAACTGTGGTAAGGATTAAAACCCAAACCGGCGGATTGAAACCGCGACATGATCGGGAGTCGCGGGGCTAACCGCAGACTCGCGTGTAAGAGGGTGAGCTAAGAGTTGAGTTCACAGGCTGTGAATCACAGCCGCAGGCCAAGGCAAAACTACTAACAAGGGAAATCTGAGGAGATACGAACGAGAGTGACCGATATGTACTCAATACGAATGCTGCATCAACGTCACTGCAACGGTCGCCAAGGATCTTTTGCAGCCGCTGCGGCACCCCAACTAATTTTGTTTCCTGGGTAGACACAGTCGAGACCGCGCTGCGAGCAACAGAACACAGAGACCTGCCAGCAGCAGCAGCAGTCTATCGTTTTCTCCTTCGCAACCCACGCGTGTTGCACACCAATATTCACGGCGTGAATTCTCACGGTGTAAAAAGCGTGGATTTCACGCCCTTCCATGGTTACCGCGTCGCGGCGCTGATAAGATTTCAGTTGACTCAACAACACCTGGAATGGGCATGGTCGGGGTCGAGGTTTTTCTATGGAGTGTATTTGGTAACAATAGTGAATGATGACCTTGTTGCTGATACACAAACGGAGTGATGGGCCATCATTGATGGCATTGATGATATTTCTTCTGAGTGGACACTCCCCGCTAGTAATAATGTCGTGAATGTCTCGCACGATGACAAGAACGCTCGGTAGATGATCTAACCTTGAACTCGATAAAAAATGCCAAAAACGAGCCATTTATGATCTACTCGTGAGCCATATTTTGGGCGGCAGGCTGCCGCCGGCAGCGTGGTGGAAGGATTTTCCATGCAGCTTTCCTTTCGAAGTCATAGCCTCCGTCGATGAGTCGCCGACAGTGAGTCTCCGTGCAGTCCTGCCAGAACTGTCCTGGGTTACCCAGTACTACTAGGGGAAGAATAGTGGTTATTATTCTCGAGAAGGTTTATCATACTTTCTTTCCGGGAATTCCCGCTAGGGAAGAGTTGCATTTGTCGCTGATGGGTTACACTGCCGCAGCATGCATTGGTACGACTACAGACATACAAATCTCCACGTTTCACGTGACGGTCACAATGGTTTCACGAGATCCCAAGGGTTTCCAGGATGGATTAAGATGGGTCTTGAAATGATTCGAAGTCCTCAAACAGAAAGGTGCACGATGAGATGATCCGTTGGAGCACTCTCGGTCGGTCGGAGTAGCTCCGGCCGACCGAGTCGCAGCGTGAGAAGCCGAGTTGGTCTAGTAAGTGGCCTTCATATCTAAACGCAACAACATCCGCAGAATTCAAGGGAAAGAAAACGTAGCATATTGCTCTAGAGTCTAGACCCATCCCACAACCGGCCGCTCGATTTCGTCATTGGCAAGGTGATGAGCCAAAGCTTTCACTCTTGATCGCTACTCGAGCCACAACGAGGCTTGCAAGAGTGTGCTCGTGGAAAAATGTTGGATACCTCGCATATCAATGCGCAGACTTGCATACGATAAGCGACGAACAGCAGGCTCTTGCGCACGACATTAACGCGATATTGGACCAAGATATGAAAAAATGGGAAATGAAAATGAATAAATGGTAAATAGATGGATACGGTAGTGAGAATGACCCGAAATCATCACATTGTTCAAGACTCTTGAATCAAGAGATATGTACAGTTCGTGAGGCACCAGCATCAGAGCTCACCGACGTCGCCACGCCGGCTAGGCATAGAATCATGATGCTGCGTAGATTCACAGTATATTCACGTTCTGTAGATTGCCGCGGATCACATATTTGGTGTAATCTTCTAGCATAGGAGAAAAGTCAAAAAATTCGTACTTAACCAAGTAGTACCAGCCACCTCTCACCCTTTTTATGAGGATTTCTTGTCTGCTGTAAAACTCAGAATAGGGCACATTAGAGGAGCATTTGTGACTGACTCTCAGGCCCAATCCGTCGCTCTGCGCTCCACCAATTAGACTATCCCACGAGCTCCAAACGCTCACGTTACGAGGGAGGGTACCAAAGTCGATAGTCGGAACTCGGAAAAACACAAATACACGATCTGGACCGTAGGAGTTCTTGCCTGGAGCTGGGTTCCACCAGAAGTCTCTGGTTTCATCACCGACACTCAGGTGAGCCCAACCATCCGTTACAACTAAGATATCGGGCTCTCTGGTTCTAGTAGGGCTGGACACAGTGATGTTTACTGACATGCTGCCATAATGCCCAGGCCTGTTAGTGTTGAGTATGATCCCGGCAACTTCTCTATAACTCCCATCGGTTGTGTTGCTCTCCATGCTGTAAATGCAGGAAGGCGCTAGCATATCGGTAATGTTGCTTCCCTCCCCTGGACCAGGACCTCCATAACAACCCGCTGGATAGTCAGCAGTAATCTTCAGAGGGGCATCAAGTACTCCTAGGGCTGCTTCCATCACAGTGGCAAGCAAGAGGGAGCCGTAAGCAGATGGCATCACGAATAAGATTTAACCTGAAGAGTTTGTTGATGGGAATCCGAAGAGTCGAACGGATACACGTTTATCTTCACGCCAAC